GGGGGGGGTGGGTAGCAGCACCCCAGCTCTGCCTGCTTTCCCTGCCCCCTTCCCCTTCCCCTGTCCCACCCAGGCCAGCACCTCTGGAGCCAGGCAGACTGGCAGTACCGTGCAGACTGCAAGTTCACCTGGCTCTGCGTGGCTCTGATGAGCATCGTCCTCCTCTTCCTCATCTCCCTCCTGCTGGGCATCGTCATCCACCGTGAGTTACCCGAGCAGGGAGGGCTGGGGCTGCGGGGTGAGGGGCACAGAACCAGCTCAGTGCAGGAGAGGGGCACAGGGAGGGTATCCCTCCTACCCAGGACCTCCCAGGCTCTGCCCATCCTGGGGAGAGTGCTTCCTGCACAGGAACAAGCCCTCATCCACCTCCCCGGCATGTGACAAGGTCACTGAGCCCCGTGAGAGCTGCCTGGGATCCCCTGGGACCTGCACATGTGTGGGATAGGGTGGGAGCAGAGGACACTGAGCTGGGTGGGCTTCCCGAGCCCCTTCCCCACGCTGCAGCCATTTCTCCCTGCTGGAACTGAGCTGTCCCTGCTCTTCCCTGGGCACAGAGCTGACGTCCCCACAGCCACCCAGCGCCCCAGCTGCAGCCCTGCCTGCCCGGGGCACCATCACTACCACCACCACCACCACTGCAGCACCCACCCGAAGGGATTTCCTGGCCCCTGGGACAGCTGCCACCCCAAGGCAGAGCTGGCTGCCCACAACCAGCACCCCAGCAGCAGGTAAGTCCCAGGCAGGGCAGCGTGCCAGGACACCCGTGCCCCGCAGCACGAGCTCGCGCCCACCCTGTCACCCCTTGCAGCCTGTGGTGGGACCCTGCTGGGCCCTGAGGGCTCCTTCAGCTCTCCCAACTACCCGGGCCCCTACCCACCCGATGCCCTCTGCATCTGGCACATCCTGGTGGGCCCTGGCCTCAGCATCCAGCTGAGGATGGAGACGTTCAGCGTGGAGGGCACAGCCTCCTGCCTCTTCGACCGCCTGGAGCTCTACGAGGAGCAAGGGGCTGGTGGCACAGATCCTGCCCCAGCTCGGGGGAACCCGACCAGGTAGGGCCCCCTCAGACCCCTCAGCAGTGCAGTGGGGAGGGGGGGGGGTGTCTATGGTTTGTTGTCTAGGGTTTAGTATCTAGGGTCAAAGGTCTAGGATCTAGGGTTTGGTATCTAGGGTCTAGGGTTTAGTATCTAGGGCAGTGTCACCCCTGGTTGTGCCCCCAGGTTCTAGGGTTCAGTATCTATCTATCTAGGGCAGTGTCACCCCTGGTTGTGCCCCCAGGTTCTGTGGCAACGTGGCCCCCCCGACCTTCAACAGCAACTCCAACCACCTGCGTGTCACCTTCATCTCGGACAGCAGCGTGGGAGCCCCGGGCTTCAGAGCTCACTACCGAGCCCTGGCCCCCAGCCAGAGTGAGTTCCCCTCACCCCAGGCACTGCCAGGACTCCTCAGAGGCAGGGGAGGGTCTCCTGAAATGCCCTGAGGGTGCCCCGTGGTGGAGACACCAGCAGCAGCCCCTCTGCCTGTGCTGCAGAGAGCTGTGCCTGGGATGAGCACTTCTGTGACCAGGGGCTGTGCCTCCAGCTGAGCTTTGTCTGTGATGGCTTCCACGACTGTAGGGACAGGAGTGATGAGGCCAACTGCAGCCTGAAGCACAAAGGTTGGGCCACAACCAAACCCACACCCCCCCCTCC